ATTTTTATTGTATACTTATTTGGTATGGTATTATCTGTAATTGCGTTTATTGCAGAACTGATTGTCCATCGTTTTTAAATGTAGTTTAATCTGCAAATTGCACTTTACTCACTGAAAATGTATTAAAATGTTATTGTCATCAGGTTTGTAATCTTTAATAAAAGTTCTGCAATTTACTTTTATGCCAAGATACATTCTCCATTCCAAAACTATAGCACATAGCTCGGCTTCGACGCACTTGTAACGGGTAGTTAGACCAGGATTGTAATTCCCTCTCCTACTGATAAATCTGATTCTAAGTTGTAATGTTCCTAGGGGGGTCTATCAAGCCGACACGGAAAACGTTGACTTACCCTATACTTACGGTTGGCAACTCTGGCAAAAACTACAAGCAGAACCACCTACCTTTCAAGTCGAAACGAAGGTAGTCTCGCGGCACTTTTGAATTTGGATGGCAGTCGGCTCGATATGGGTGGCACGAATGGACTCCTACGTTGTGTAATCGGTTCTTTTATGTGTTGGGACGTGAGACATAATCGGGAAGGGAATTAAATAAAAGACAGAACTTTTGTGCGTAAGAAATGACAAGATCAAATAAATATATTAACGCACACACAAGACCATGCCAGGGAAACCTTCTCCGGGACTAAAACCCTGGCATAGGCCACACAAATACATGAAATAAATCACCTACAGCAATAAAATGCAAGAGAAAATACACATAAATAAAACATCTCAAATTGTGTGATAAAAATCAGATAATCAAATCAAATGCAATTAAACAAGTTCATAAAAACAAAATACACAAGACATCATAAATGCAGTGGAAAACATGATAAATCAATTCAGTACAAAAACACATCAAAATACCTGTACGATCAATAGAAATAACACAACTCGTCAAATAAACAAATTTCATGTACATAGGAAACATGTAAATGGTGTGGCTCTACTCCAGCCTTCCGTTAACATAATTTAATTTACCACGAAAAGTACATGTGAGAATGCCATTGGTCAATAGCAAGTATTCAGGTGAAAATCGATTATCGCTCAAACAGAACATATTTTAAATAAAGGAAATGTAAATGAGAGGGCCCCCACTCGTATTGTTAAGATATTAAGAACTACAATCCGCACGAGACGAGTAGGCAACAGATACAGCGAAAGATGTAACTGCATTAGGTACCTACTCCACGGAGACAGAATTACCCACTCGCACACACAAACATCGAAACATCAAATAAAAGAGCCCCCCTTCGTATAGCTAACGCACAAGAACTGTAGCGCACCACGAAACAGAAAGTAACAGATACAGCGAACAATCAAACTGTATTAGGTACTTCCCTCACGGAATAGTTACGGGTCAATCGCACAGAGCAACATCACACCGATAATCAACCCCTCGTGAATAACAGAAATAAATACTTAATTAAACAAAATAATGGCATAATCATCTATACAGTATTACAAACAGGATTCATCTAACGGTACTCAAAACAAAGGCATGGAGTACGCCATGATTCAGATATCGTAGTTTATGCAAAATCAGCAAAATGTAAATAATATCAAATTGTGGCAAGAAATTCAATTATCAATAGCTAGTACAAGAAAGAATAAAATGGTTACTACCTGTAAATACACCTTCAAAACACCATCATCACAAAAATCAAGAATAATAAAAAAAACCGGGAAAGCGTGTGTCTTCCATCGACCTCGTCGCCATCTTCTCTCCATTCTCCCCTAGCTTCGTTACGAAAATCCCCTAGTATTCGGCATCTGCGCAAAACGGTCGTTGGTTATATACAGAGCATATTATATGTTTGTTTCAGCTGTAAACGTGTGTTGCCTAACCATCAGGGTGGATTATCACTTCGGAAGTCCTCAAGAACAGCTTTGATTTTGTTAATTATTTTTTTAAATTTTGGTTTTTGTATTATTAATTACTAATATTCGGAACCCTTGCAGAGGGGGGAAGTTATTATTTGTATTGCTTAAACAATGTGTATCCTCTTTATATAGGAACATTTTTAGCGCATTTTTCGTTTTTCTCGTGCCTTTATACGTCTGCCTGTCTGTCCGCCCGTTCGTCTACTCGGGCGCACTTCTGCGAACTACTTTTAGGGAAGTTGTCCTAGAATATCAGTTTGTATGCGTAATCTTGCTTTCGCGATTTGATGCCGAAATAGGGAGTCTGCTCAGACAAGGTGTATTGGAACAGTCTGCTTCATCTAGTATAAAAACAGTCACGTCAATCAAGCAGGTAGCCGCCCACTGGAAAATTGTGCCATTATATTGTAATCTCTATCTAGCCCATGCGAAGAAAAAGTCATAAGTTTTGCAGTGGGCGGGTACCTGCGTGGGCGTGAGTGACGTGGTTGTTTTTATACTAGACGACGGCGACGTCTTGACGTAGTATCAGATCTATTAGTACGAGAGGGAATTTCAAACCTGGTTTTGTAACTACCCGTGCGTCGAAACCGAGCTATGTGCGATAGTTTTGGAATGGAGAATGTATCTTGGCATAAGAGTAAATTGCAGAACTTTTATTAAAGATTACAAACCTTGTTACGTTCACTTTGGGCCAACGTGACAAAATTACCTTAGATAAGCACACGGTAAGCTCAGGCAAAGTAGAGGTGAGTCGGGGTGAAAATGGGGTTCTTCTATACACACACAAATAAGCCAAAAAGGGAAGGAAACAGTAAAAGTAATCCGGATAGGCGCCACTTAGTCTTTGATAAATTTAGAGAGAGAGGAATACTAAAGGGATGAACAAGGCAGACCAAGAGATCCTTGTTCTCGTCTTACTAAACTCAAAGGAATACACAATTATGGAGAAAACAAACAGTATTTGATGTATAAATGCGGGTAGTTTAATAACAAAGATCTCAAAATATCACAAATCTGACACTGTAATATATCGATCTAGTATAACAAACTGGGAATTTAAAATAATCTCTAATAAAACAAATGAGAAGCCAACACGTAGCCTGGGAAAATATTTATCCAAAAGGGCTTCCGTAGAAACAACGGAGCTATAATCATTAAGTGACTTTCAAACAAAGTAATAATCACAACTCTTTAGTAGTATCAACAACCAAAATGTAATCAAACGTTAAAAGGGAAAAACGACGAAAATAACTAAATTTACCTTGAACTCCGGTCGCAACCTTCCGAGCTCAGAGGACGCGAAACTGCAAATCTGAAACAGTCAGACACAAAAACAAAAAAATATAAGAAGGGTAATGATTCGCGTTGCACAATATATCGCATAAGCAATGGTTAACGTAAGACACGAATGGTTATTCTTGTACGTAGAATTGCAATCAATACTAAAAAAAAATCAAAAATTCAAATGACTTTACAACAAAACAAGATTTGGTTCGACTAAGGGTTGGTTTTCACAATCGGTGTGAGATATCAAAAAGTGACATAAAGTTTTAAGAGAAAAATACTATAAAATGTACAAATAAAATAACTGAATCTATCTTCAATGACAAAGCAATCTTATCAATTCAAAAGAAATTACACGAGCAAGTTCTTCAAAGTAACATCCATAACGTTAATTAAAAATTTACACACGTCTCGTTAATTAAGTACTTGCGTTTCGGAGGAATGAATCGTAGGTCAACGAACTTCGTAAAATTGGGCCATCAGTTCAAATATCGGTTTCACATGAAATGGCGGTAATTCTTCAGTCAATTCTTCAGTCGGTAAGGTAGAAATATGTAGAGCGTTTTTTATTGTAATGGCGTCAGGAAGCAATTGGTAAAACCAAAATAAGAAGTAAGAAAACTTAGGGAGTACGAAAGTACCCTAAAATAGATTATTTCAAATAATAGTTATTTGTTTCATTAGTACAAAAAATGTCAGTTTTCGGGACGAGGAAGATAGTTGCTGGACGAAGCGTTAGCGGAGTCCAGCAACCTTCCGAGTCCCGAAAACGCATTTTTTGTACGAATAAAACATAAAATTTTTTCTCCAACCCCCTTTACTTCAAATTATATTCGAATTTAGATTCAGTCACAGTTTCACTACTAGTATAAGAACTTCCGCTTTCTTGTCCTCACGTGTCATGCCACTCTAGTTTTTAGGTTAACTTATAACCTAGTCGTTCTTACTTCTTACTTCTCACCTCTCGCGACTTTGTAGGGAGCAAATCTTGAGGTAGCATGTTCTGCCGTTTCTATAATCTCTGGCGGAGTGAAATCCATGTCGCTATCAGTTTGAGTCATTTTATTGTATACACAATAAATATTGTTATATTTTGCATTGAAATAAAAAACTTACCATACAGTTTTTTAATTAAAATTAATTGCAATTAACTTTTTCAATTTTGAATTCAAAATGACAGATAATAGTGCAATGGGTCTGAAGTAGATGGCGTTACACGCGACGGCGGGTTGTATACGTATTAAAATTACGTTCACGGAATATGTAAATTACGTTACACATGCGAGCGTAAATCATTTTCAATACATGTACATACGTATAGGTAACATCACTATTTGCATTGAATACGCAAAAATATTTGATTTGTATGTATAGAAATATCTTACAATCTGCAATGTAAAACGATGTCAATGTGACATATCTCCGTGATTGTAATTTTTTAATTGGCCAACTTTCAAGGTCAATTTCTTTTTGGTACTAGGACCAAAAGTATCCACTTTTTGTACAGTTGCCATGGTGAAAGCGATTAATCCGCAAAACGTCAATTTTAGGTACCGAACACTGTCACAAAATAGCGTCTTATTCAGGTGGTTGGAGAAAAAAGGTTTTTTTTTAAAGAAAACTATATCGCAAATAAAGGATCGGGTTATAATGTAAACACCTAGATGGCGTAAGGATTGCTATATAAAGGTAAGAGTTCACATAATGTTATTCGAGAGGGATTCCATATAGTAATTCAAATATAGGCCAACGCAAAGATTACACGGTAAAGAAAATAACGTCACAACCTCTTTTTGACAATAACTTTTTAATACATTTTCAGTGAGTAAAGTGCAATTTGCGGATTAAACGACATTTAAAAACGATGGACAATCAGTTCTACAATAAACACCAATACAGATAATAACAAACCAAAACAGTATACAATAAAAATTCCATTCAAGTGCTCCAAAGATAGCGCTACTATTACTTCTTCTTGCGCTAATACTCGTTTTTTGAGGTCTTCGTAAAACTTCTGATCTCTGTCTACTTTATCGTACAACCCGCTTTCGGTCAATCTCTCGATGATTATGTTTAAACTGTCGATAATGAAACCACTTTTTCCAGTTGCAAACGTGTGCATCACGGGAGGTAAAATGTGATTATGCACGAAGTAGTTTGGAGTGCGCATTTGTAAACTCAGTGTCAGTACGTGTAGTGTTTTCAATGGGAGGGCGATCGAGAAATTGGGACGTGCAAACCAAGCCTCCAGCAACACACGAGGATCGCGAGTTTTGCGGAAATGACATGACAACTGTATCTTGGTGTATATTTTTTCAAGTTCTGGCAACCTGGATCCATACATCAAGAAAGCGGCACTATCACACAAACAAATTGGAATATCCGCCTCTAGCAGTTCCTTTAAATTGCGAATCGGTTGCCTTGTTGGAGGTGAAGTCATCAGGCGCATTAGGTTTGAGATGTACGCTGTTTGTATGTGCACACTGTATATAATGTAGCACAGAATTATGAATCTTAATTTTGAAGATTGGGTAATGCGATTGGTGCTTCCAAATAGCGTGATCCCAAAAGTCTTCAGAACAATGTCGCCCAAGGTTGTTTTGAATTTGTCCAAAACATACCAAGCTAAGGTAAATAATGCAAAAATCACCGAAACTAATATCCAAACCTCCAGATCAAAATTAACTGCCAAAATCTCCAATGCCGAAATCGCATTTGTTGGTGGAACTATCCACACCATGACGTCTTGTGCATACACGTGAGTCGTACGATAATTTCCTGACCTAGAGCCAATTACTTGCCCATCATCTACTCTGATCGTTTCGTGATTCTTTTGAGCTTCGTTTAAAGAGATATTGAACATTTCAACCGCGATAATGATTGTAAAATTTCTGCGATTAAATTTATCCAAATACTTCGTAAAGGCATCAGAAGAGAATGCTATGTAACATCCGTGGTAATTTGTGATACGACGTGGAAAGGTGTCGGCAATCGGTTGATCGCAGCTTTGAAGAAGCATTCTGTTCGGAAGTCTGCCGCAATAGTTCTGAACATCATACGGATTAGCTGTAAATAACAGCGATCTTGCATCTTCATCCTTGTTGATCACCAAAACCTTCACATATGTAAAGCCGTGATTCCATAGTACACTGAAAATCATTTCCACTCGCCATACCTGATCGGTAACAACAAGTGATCTTGCAATGACATGATCATACATTTTCCATGTGCCTGTATATTGCAGATAAAAAATAAATTTTTTAAGAAAATTCAAATTTCTGACTTCAAATATGAAATTATTCGAAATCTTCCTCTTTAAGGAACGTATAGGACGACTAGTGTTAATAACAATCCTTGGATTTCTTAAATTGAACGGTAACAGATCACTACTTCCATTGAATACATAGTAAAGTGTTTCGGCTCCAAAAATCGATGTGATCACTTTTTCTGTACATACCTTCGAGGACGTCTGATTATTTTTGAGCGAAATACTAATTGTGGTACTTAAGAAAGATAGAAAAATGACACACGGCGCAAACACTTTCATTGTCGTGTTACTTCTATTACAACACTTAAACTGAATCGTTAGGTGCTGAGCGACATACATACTTATTTGTTTAGTAAGTAAACATGTACGCTAATGTATTTTGTGTGTACACTGGAAGCACTTTACGGCATAATCACTACCTTTTAGTATAACACATTTGTTCAGTAAAGTGCTTTTTTTATGAAGTTAATGGACATATTGCATTAGTAATGCGATCGATAAGAAAGTAGAAGGTCGCCATTCCAACAATCGTACTTTTATTTAATAACATTTGGAGTTTTTATAGTTCCTTCACTATTAAAGTAATTAATTACACACTTTCTGCACCGAGTTTGCGAAATTGTTAGAGCGGCTCCGTTAACTTAGCACCACCATATCAAATTTCTGACTAAAGACAGATTGCGCTAGAATCTCTATGGCTAGCGCCACTTTGAGTTCAGCTAGCGCCATTATAGATTTTGCAGAAAAGCCCTTGACTTTCGGGGGGTGCTATGTTAACGCTAGCACCACCATTGCGTCCGATCATATCCAAAAGCAAGCGCTGTGTTCATCGAACCTAGCGCCACAAATTTTATAGCTAGCGCCACCCCCCAATAGTGCGGGGGGGACTTTTTCCTAGCACCACCATTTTGTTTTTTCGGGTAAAATTTTGACGTTTTGTGTTCTGCTGACCTAGCGCCACAATTTTAGAGCTTCCATCACCCTCCAATAGTGTAGGGGGAGGGGCACCACCATTTTGTCTTTTCGGGTAAAAATTTGATGTATTCTGTTCTAGCGCTCAAGATAACCTACCGCAATTATAGATTTTGCAAAAAGCCTTTAACTTTTGGGGGTGGTTTATTAGCCTCTAACACCACCATTGTGTTCGATGACTACCAACAGCAAGCGCTGCGCTGTTTTCTTTAAACGTAGCGCCAGCTAGCGCCACATATTGCAGAGCTGGCGCCCAATCCCCAACATTGTGGGGGAGGGGGGCTTTTTTTAATATAACCACCGGTTTGTTTTTTCGTGTACAATTTTGCTATTTTGTGTTTTGCTGACATATCTCCCAGATAGAGTCAAAATCTTAGGAGTTGGCGCCACACCCAAGTAGTCTGGGACAGTTTTTCCTAGCTTTATGACTTGGCGCCACTGAAATATTTTGGATTCATTTTCGAGTAAAACGAGTGGTGCAGTAGCTGAATCTGCGGCAAGTATAAAAATAAGGAAATACAGTTCAATTATAGAACAGAACCACATTTTTATACCTTTCGCAGTAGAGACATTGGAACCTGGGAAAACGTATTACCCACCAATATTACTGGGGAACCCCGAGCTACCACTTACTTACGAGAAATTTAAGTATTGCCATACAGCGTGCAGACTGCAGGTAACGCGACCAGTCAGTGTAATGGGGACTACGATCCCCGTGGAAGAAAATTATCATTTATTATGAATGTTTAATTTTAAAATTTCCATATTACGGTTTCTTGTGAAATTTTTCCTTTTTGTGCTCTACTCACCACACAATTCTTTTTGTAAATCACAGTATTAATTTCACTACCACAATATTGCGAGCTAAATCGTTTAGAACACAGCACAGTGCAAAATTTGAAAATGTCAACGAACGTACCTACTCATAACCAGAGCTGGGCAGTATTCGATTTTGTAAATACTTTTTAGTATTCAAATACTTTGTAATTACATACTTTTATGGAAGCAGTATTTGTATTTGTAACTCAAATACTTTTGCAAATTTTTAGTATTCGAATGCTTAGCAAAGTATCTGAATACTCCGTAAAGTACTCGAATACTTGTATACTTACTTCGTAAAGTATTCGAATACTTCGTAAGGTATTTGAATACTTTTAAGTAATTCAAATATTTGACAACTATTTAGAAATTTTTAGAGGAAGTTTCCGTTATCACAAAATCAAATATAAAAATCCGATACAACATGAATACCGAACGAGCCTGGAGTGAAACTTTTTGACCCGATGCACACGGACGGACAAAAAAGGATCTGTTTCAAAATCGCTAGAATTAATTTCAGAAAGGTGTACGTGTCATTTGCACGACGTACGATCGCTTTGAAAACTGGTACACGTATTCTTAAGGATATAACTGATATAAGACAGGTCCTGGTACCTCCTATATAATAATATAATAACAATAATACGCTTTTACTCCCCTTAAATTTGTATATAACAATAGAAATATAAAAAAAGCTAACCTCAGCTCAGGGAAAGGAACTACATTCAGTGCATAAAACGCTGTTCCTCCATATTGCCTCGATACAAAGTATAACTTGACATTTTTTAAGTATTATTAAGACTTTTATCTAGTACTATTTTAAATTTTTAATGTATTTGAGTGACAAGTATTCGAATACTTTTTATAGTATTCGAATATCTTTGGTAGTATTAGAATATTTTTGAAAGTATTTGAATACCTTTGAAAGTATTCGCATCAATCAGCATATTTATTTGTTAATTCTGCTAAAAAACAAAAAAACAGATTCTTATATACTTATGTGTAATGTGCAAATAATCATAAGGCATATGTATTTTATATGATTAATACACTTCATTAATATACGACCTATCAGCTTGGTGATTGTTTCAAATTCTAACCAATCAGATGATTTTTTATCTGATTAAACACCACGTAGCTTTTTAACAGCGATAAAAATGCGTGTAGGAATGCGTAAAATATGTAGTGGTTGTAAAATTTACTCTCTTTTATTAATATCCCTAAAATACACTCGACCTTGGTTTTAAATCAGGATAATTTTATTTTTAATTCATTAAAATTTTGTTGCCTCCTGGAAAAAACTCTCGATCAAAAGGATAATATTAATAAAATCGCTCCAGCTAAAACTGTCGCGATTTTATCACACTTTTGGTCTCGAGTTTTTTCGGTGGCAACAACACTTTCGTGTAAAAATAAAATTATCCGATTAAAAATCAAGCTCTTGTGTATTTGCTCCCGATAAATTATATACCTACCTATGTACGTCGCGTCGACTACTATCTAAAGGTGTTGTTTTTAATAATACGATATACCAAACTTTACACAATTGACGCGCCTGTAAAGCCTTGATGTGACAAATAATTTACAACTTTTGCGCATTCATAAAGGATTTAAGTAAGTTTGTACCTGCATACCTCACCGTCTGTTTACTTTGAAATGAAGGGATTGCTCATATTTACAATCTTGCTACTTTACATACAAATTTTAGTATTTTTATTGGAACTTTTTTACTCTAAACAGAACAGAACAGAAAATTGCTGTCATTGTTTTTCCAAAGCATCACTAGATCTAAGAAATCGTTTGAACTGTATCTAATACGTGAGATGTTGTTCTTACGGAGCAGTTGTTAAAATCTTTCAACATCATAAGTGCTTGCCTCATTGTTGCTGGGAATTGCACCAACTTCTTGTCAATCCGAGTTCGATGAGAATTATTTGTTGAAGTGTAGTCGAAGAAGAAGTGTTTTTGATAATTAAGAAAGCAAAAGTTGAAGATCATGATCATGTAACGGGGAAATATAGATGCATGGTCTGCAACAAATGCAATTTAAGGTTACCCAAAGTTATTCCTGGTCAATATTAAAATTAAATTTAAATGACTCGAAGAGAATTTTACAGTCGACAAAAGTGATATAATTCGTAATTTTTTATATTTTATTTTTTAATTATTTGAGACATCTTTGGGACACTAGTTCAAGAAATGGATTGTCCCCAGATGCATACGACTTTTAAGAAGGGGATAGTGTAACAGAACAATAGCATTCAATGTAAATAACGTCCGCTATAGTTAAATGGAGGACAACTTATCAATCGGCTTTTCAAATTTCTAATTTACGGCGACGCAATCAGAACAAAACTGCCGAAAGCGCTGCAACTTAAATTTGCCGCCAAAAAATGACGTCACACAGAATGGAAGGAAAGATCGCCTATGTACGCCTAAAAATGTACAGCTCTAAAAAGAACACAAGAAGTGCGCAAAAGTGTCCCAAAATCGTCATTCCGAAAACAAGCGCGAGATGTTCCATCCCCATCCCGCTGCCGCTCGAATGATCCACGTCATTGCTGGCCGATCTCAGTTGATTTTCGAAAATGCGCCTCTCCCAGTACGGTACGAATCCGGCCGACGCTATACGTTGGATCAGCTCGCGAAAGTAGTCGGTGAACGGGAAACCGCGCGTCATCAGCATCTCCAAGGGGTAGGTCACAATGCTATGGTCGAAACAGTAGAGGAGCGGTTCCCCGTTTTCGGTGACGTAGTGATTCACGGCGTACTCGATGAAATGACGGGGCGTGCACGTGGCGGACCGTTGCGTTAGTACCGTATTGTACAGACAGCGGTCGATTTCGTCGCACGTCCTCCAGATCTCGCGAACCTTGACGTTGGTACCATCGTTTTGGGCGGTAAAGTACCTTTTAAAATTCGGCAAGATCCAAATGTCCAGGTTGTGGTCAAGAATATCGGACAAGTTTCGTATCTTTTGCTCGTATATCGGCTTGGTTAGTACGCTGATGAGGAAACTTTGGTAGACTGCTGCCATGTGCATAGCGAAAAGAACCCAAGTTATGAAGAGAGCCCTGGCTTTAAACAATCTGGGAGGTGCGCGTACCGACAGGTTGTTCAGAATCGAAAATGACACCTGCAGACTTTCCACCAGACTACGGTAGTTCCTTGCTTCGCCTTCTTCAACGTGGGAGAAACCCCATATCAGTACACCCACGATTATGCAAATTGTGTACGTAGCAACGGTCACCCATAAAGGTAGCACCATGCAGACTTTCTCCCACTGGTGCGCATCTCTAGCGTGCGGCACGCACCAGGTTAGCGACTCTGGAAAGCTGTAAATAGCGTAATCAAAGAATGTGTTGCGATCTTCGGATGGGGCCATGGAGCCGATTGCCGCGTCACACTGGCCGCTTTTCAAAAACGAGAGCGAACCCAACGCGGCGCCGTTTTCGGATATAAAGCCCCAATCCTGAGAGTTATTCGACGGTAGGTACTGGACGGTGAAGTTCGCCACTTGCCCCATCATTTCGACGAGCTTCACCTCCAACCCGTCCCTAAATTCACCGCCGACTGGCGGTAGCACGTAGGGAGGCCAGACAATCGGACAAATTTTGAGCTTGCGCCCGCGTAAATTCCGCGAGAGGTTCTCCGAGAACAAATCGGTTTCGTTTTGGAATACTCCCAACGTACATGGTTCAACCCGTCGTGTCCCGGTGGAATTATTGGCGAACCAAGCGTGCACCAAGTGCGAGTTCTCATCCGCCAACACTATCGCGTAGTTCACAACTCGTGCCTTTCGTAGCTGTTTAGCTACTTTCTGAGCAAATTGGTCCGCATGCCCGTGGCTGCGCGTTGAAAAAACCACAAACCTCGCGTGAGGGTTCCATGTTCGGTACATCTCAACTTTCTCCAAGCGGTTCCTGATTTTATACGAAAACTCCACTTCCATGACATAATTATCAACTCGTCTGTATTTAAAACCACCACCACCACCATTGACTATCGCACCATGACGAAACAATTCACTCAGTACGTCATCGTTACCTCCTTGGATCAATGTAAGATCACCAGGTTGGAAGTAAGCGGCACTTATGGCACCGAGACATTTTGATAACGACCTAGTTTCTGGTGGAGCGAGTGCGCATCGGGTTGGAGCAATCAGTGCTACGAGTAGCAATATCATCGTTGGAATGGAAAATGAGTGATTTGTTGCTGTTCGCCGGGTCGCTTGAATTATTAATTTTCGATTAGGCCAAATTAATCGAAAGTGTAATTTTCCAATTTAGTAAATGAAAACGTCGTATTGAATAATAATGTGTCCAAATTTTAAATCAACGTGAATAATCGATACATATAATAAGTAAATGGACTGTCAATGATAAGCGGGGATACTGCAGGTGAGAGAGATGGGAAAACTAAGAAGACAAGCTGTCTTTTACGGTTACGCATCTGATTGGTTCTTTCAACAGAAGCGATCGCGATCGCATTGAAATTAAATTGAAGGAACCAATCGGATGCGTAACCGTAAGAGACAGCTTGCCCTCTTAGTTTTCCCTTCTCTCTCACCTGCAGTATCTGCGCTTATCATCGACACGCGCATTTAGCTCATACTGTCCTTGATTTTCTCAGTTTCTTGATTTCCGTGTTTTTTTGAGCCGTTTGCGCCTTATTACTGATAAAAGTGTGCCTTTCAAAACATTCCTATGCCCTTTGCTGAGCTTCGCCTCACCAAAACGCCACGTTCTTCTGCGTTAAGTCGCTAAGATATCTTGCTATTTCCGCGTAGCCCCTTATGTATTTGCGAAAATAGCTCGTAAGTCCCATAAACCGACGCTCTACACAATCCAAGAACAAATTGCACTTTGCCCCCCTTACGTATTAGCATAGTGTAAGAATAGAATAGTGAAACAACCTTACGGAAAAAAAAGGTAACCGATTTGGACATCGAGATTTTTTAGTTCTGGACGCGACAATCTGAAAGGGGGGCGCAGAAGTCGTGGATTTTAAAGGTAACCGATGTTACAAACTCTTTAACAATAAATTGCCACTTGGCGCTACACGAGAATAGATGGCGCGTTTTGCAAAGCGAATTTATAGAAGGAATATTGTAACGGAAACGCTCCAGACATGACGTCGCCTTTGGCGCTCTGGAATTTTCTACGCGCGCGATAGTGGGATTTGTATAGGACTATTCGAGAATGTACGCGGATGTTCTGGACTTACATTGCTTGCGTGTATAAATGGTTGCGGACCGAACATCGCGGCAGTCTACTACCGAACGAGATCGAGCGCGGAAATATAAATTGCGAAGTGTGTGTGATATAAATAATCGATATAAATTGTACGGTTTTTATAGTGTTTTAGTTTTGATATAAATCGAACCCGAATTTATAAATAACGTTACAATATTATACCTACTTTTATCTCATTTTTATGCGTAGGAAAAATAAAGAGGTAAATTAATCCATGCAAACATCCCGACAATAATGCTCCTTTGTTATTACATTCTCAAGTAAGTCAAAGTCAACTGAGTCATCACATTCTACAGACCTCCTTTAAATAACCTATACCTTAATATTTCAAATGTTACGTGATGAACGTACGCAAAAAAATTCATTCCTGTGTTATTTAGTTTACAATTTAATAGCTGTAGGCTCTTCTGACTGAACTTGACAATTTTATTTCGAGTTATGGATCTGGATGCCTCCCACAAAGTTCAAACAAAACCTTAGAACGAGTTTTTTGAAGAGGGTCTTCTTTAGGGGGTTCCAGGGCGGTTCTCATTGTGCCAAAGCCGCCAAAGGTGAACTTCTTCCGAACATCATCACTAATCCTACAGTCTTATTACTTAATCATTAAATTAGCTCCCCCAAAAATTAATACAAAAAGAATTGCCAAATATGAAATCACAACTTACTCCAATATTACTTATACATGGCTCAATCTTATTATACTGGGTGGTGACTTGACGAACGCACCACAGCAATTTCAATAGTAATTTTTTAATTTCCGATTATTGGCTCTCGTAATTATTTTAGAAATAAAGTCTATTTAGGTTTCTTGTAGAGAAAAAAATTGCGAATCTGTAGATACTATTGTTTTCTATTTTATAAATTCAGAAACAGTAAAAATTTAAAAATTAAAAACTGACGCGTTTATAAAATCTGTAATGCCATGGAATTATGAAATCAAACAAACGCGCCTGCATTTCCCATTAGCGCCATCAGTGAGCTTTGTTTGATCGCAAAACTACCATGGCACCACTGATTTGCTTAAAAGCGCCAGTTTTTAGTTATCCAATTTGTTGGTTGGATTCGTAATTTTTTTCTCTACAAAAAACCTAAATAGACTATCTCTAAAATAATTAGGGAAGGCAATAATCAGAAATAAAGAAATTACTATTGAATTTCCTATGGTGCGTTGTTCAAGTCACCATCCCGGTATATGCCTGCGATCCTGCACTCTGCTCAGAACAAAACTACCGAAAAAGTTCTTAAAATAGCCATTTTCCTATTTTAAAAACAGTTGCAAATCTTTATCACAATAAACTTTAGTGCCATTGAAGGGACACCCCACATTTTACACAGAACTTAAATTCTACGTGAACTATACGTCTCTACATAAGAATTTTTTTGTATTCCTCAGTTTCAAAAGCAAAAATTTTGCATAGTTTTCTTATTATTTATATGTTCCCGACCTTACAAATTCGGAAAACTGCAGAATACTCGAAACTGATCTAAGGAAATTCTTACCTCGGACCAGGTGCGAACACTGAGCAAAGGAAAAGACATAAGTTTTGCAGTGGGCGGCTACCTGCGAATGGTTTTATACTAGAAGACCTATATGTAGTTATAAGAATAAAATGATAACAAATCTTGATACGAACAGTTTGTCGAAAACAGACGAAGATCCTAATCTTTACAAGAAAAAATAGTTATATTTGTCAACTCCAACTTCCAAGAGCTACCAGATGAAGTAGATATTTTGTCCTATTTTTTGGTGAAATTTTCTAGTTCTGTTCAGAACATTGAAAATATCTAATCTAAAGTGCAGTTTACTTTATGTGATTTTGCTTACGATTTCCCGTACGATTTTTCATACGATTATTCTTTCGAGTTTTGTTAGGGGTTGTTTTGGTGGTTTTCTGTTTACATTATCCGATTTGCTACCAACAATTACGAATAAGTATGATGGGAGCCAAAAATATAATATATTATGTTATGTTATAATAAGAAAGCTTTAGAGGATTCTTTTGTATCGGAATTACCATGTTCATCTTCTTAGTTTTAAAACTTTATTTTGCGTAATGCAAATTTCAAGTCTTTTTACGCCCCAATCACGTGTCCATTCTGGATACATTCCATGATGTTGATACAATAGATCGGCTACTTATCTTCCTAATAAATTTATTGGCTCTAAACCTTACAATTAAAAGATTAAACGCCGGTTTTTCATCTTACCGTTGAGGGTGTATGAGGTACTTTTATTAATAACAATAGAAGTTACTTTTGGAAATTGGAACTCAAAATAGGTACATTTTTTTGGTGAAATGTTGAAGTTCCAACCGGAGTTCCTTAATCATTATAAACCGTTCTGTAATGAGATTTTGTGATAAGATTGATAAGAACAAAAACAGAAAGATGCTTTTTCGTATTTCAAGAACAAAATATTGGTGACCATTTTTAAAGTTTCGAGTATTTCCTAAAGAGTCATAAAAATTGTATAGCAACTTGTAAAAACAGATAGGTACTAATTGTATTTCCTCTATGGTACTATTTATTTTTGATACCTACTGAATACTGAATTTTCTCCTGAAGAGTTAGAAAGGAGTTTAGACAGCGCCACACTGGTTATAAAGCCTACACCTTTAGCAACGGAGGAGGAGGATCAATCATATTCCAAATACCAAGTAAAATATTCATAGATATGATTACAGTTCCTGATTATCCCCCAGGAGTTGTGAAAGTTTTTCGAATATGGCGTTGAATAACACATTTCTTAAAGCCACTTTATTAATAGTGTTTTAGA